AAGAATCTAACGAACATGGTAATCATGATCACTTATCCAGCAATACTGTCTACTATTAAAACAAATCGTTTACCTTATTATAGTAAACATTTTTATTCATTTTACCATCCTTTTTATGTAATATCTTATTAAATTACCCAAAATTTTGGCAATTTCAATCTCCTAATCTTACATGAGAAAGGATTAAGATCTTTATATCCCTCTATTATTGTACTTAATCGTCTCGCCATTGTCCACCGTATCCCCCAATGACGTCATCCAAGGGCGACAACTTGAATACGGTCTTAAATGAAAGGGTCTATATTCCCCTATGGGTTAGTTAATATGACCTTATTACTGCAAGCTGTGATTTAAGCAGTTTGTTTATCCTGGTAATTCTTCGATGTCCCAAGGCTATCAGTCAGTCACCGCAGTCATTTAACATCGCAGTCATTTAACATCGGTAGATGGATTAATTACTTTGTCAATAATCACATTACATCTTGTTTACCTAACAAGTTACACGGCCATAGCTGGTCAATATTCATATTAGAAAATACAGTCTATCAATATATCTACCAATAACTTACAACTAATCAACCTATATTTTCCTACCATACTGATATTATTTAAGATTTGTAAATCTATCGATCAAATACTTCTCTCAAATCAAAATAAATACTTGTGGCATTTAATATACCTTTTCTGGAAAAAAAAGCGAATGGAGAAGAATTTTTAGTTCAAGCCCTTACAAAAATTTGTTCTTAAACAAATTTTTTCCAGTCCAATATAATTTCATTGATGTAATCATATACAAATGGTTCAGTCATAGACCCGCAGACTGGTCAAATACTGGTGGTTTAATATTGGTGATTTAACAACAATGAGTTAGTCATATTAAAGAGATTTAGCCAAATTCAATTGGTATAGTCATATACCAGTGATATGTTCATATACCAGTTGTATAGTCATATACCAGTGGTCATAAACCAGTGATATAGTCATATACCAGTGGTATAGTCATAAACCAGTGATATAGTCATAAACCAGTGGTATAGTCATAAACCAGTGGTATAGTCATAAACCAGTGATATAGTCATATACCAGTGGTATAGTCATAAACTAGTGGTATAGTCATAAACCAGTGATATAGTCATAAACCGCGTTGTATAATCATAAACCAGTGATATAGTCATAAACCAGTGGTATAGTCATAAACCAGTGATATAGTCCATAAATCAGTGATATAGTCATATACCAGTGGTATAGTCATAAACTAGTGGTATAATCATAAACCAGTGATATAGTCATAAACCGGTGGTATAATCATAAACCAGTGATATAGTCATAAACCAGTGGTATAGTCATAAACCAGTGGTATAGTCATAAACCAGTGATATAGTCATAAACCAGTGGTATAGTCATAAACTAGTGGTACAGTCATAAACCAATGGTATAGTCATAAACCAGTGATATAGTCATATACCAGTGGTATAGTCATAAACTAGTGGTATAATCATAAACCAGTGATATAGTCATAAACCGGTGGTATAATCATAAACCAGTGATATAGTCATAAACCGGTGGTATAGTCATAAACCAGTGATATAGTCATAAAGCAGTGGTATAGTCATAAACCAGTGGTATAGTCATAAACCAGTGGTATAATCATAAACCAGTGGTATAATCATAAACCGATGGTATAGTCATAAACCAGTGGTATAGTCATAAACCGGTGGTATAGTCATAAACCAGTGATATAGTCATAAACCAGTGGTATAGTCATAAACTAGTGGTATAGGTCATAAACCAGTGGTATAGTCATAAACCAGCCGTAAGTCATAAACCAGTGGTATAGTCATAAACCAGTGGTATAGTCATAAACCAGTGGTATAGTCATAAACCAGCCGTAAGTCATAAACCAGTGGTATAGTCATAAACCAGTGGTATAGTCATAAACCTGTGGTAAGTCATAAACAAGTGGTATAGTCATAAACAAGTGGTATAGTCATAAACCAGTGGTACAGTCATAAACCGGTGGTATAGTCATAAACCAGTGGTATAGTCATAAACCAGTGGCATAGTCATAAACCAGTGGCATAGTCATAAACCAGTGGCATAGTCATAAACCAGTGGCATAGTCATAAACCAGTGGCATAGTCATAAACCAGCCGTAAGTCAATAAACCAGTGGTAAGTCATAAACAAGTGGTATAGTCATAAACCAGTGGTACAGTCATAAACCAGTGGTATAGTCATAAACCAGTGGTATAGTCATAAACCAGTGGCAATGTCATAAACCAGTGGCATAGTCATAAACCAGTGGTATAGTCATAAACCAGTGGCATAGTCATAAACCAAGTGGCATAGTCATAAACCAGTGGTATAGTCATAAACCAGTGGTATAGTCATAAACCAGTGATATAGTCATAAACCAGTGGTATGTTCATAAACCAGTGGCATGGTCATATACCAGTGGTATAGTCATATACCAGTGGTAAGTCATAAACCAGTGGTATAGTCATAAACCAGTGATATAGTCATAAACCAGTGGTATAGTCATAAACCAGTGATATAGTCATAAACCAGTGATATAGTCATAAATCAGTGGTCTGTTCATAAACCAGTGGTATAGTCATAAACTAGTGGTATAGTCATAAACCAGTGGTATAGTCATAAACCAGTGGCATGGTCATATACCAGTGATATAGTCATATACCAGTGATATAGTCATAAACCAGTGGTATGTTCATAAACCAGTGGTATAGTCATAAACTAGTGGTATAGTCATAAACCAGTGATATAGTCACATTTAACCAGTGGTTATAATAGTCATAAACCAGTGGTATAGTCATAAACCAGTGGTATAGTCATAAACCAGTGATATGTTCATATACCAGTTGTATAGTCATATACCAGTGGTCATAAACCAGTGGTATAGTCATATACCAGTGGTATAGTTATATGCCAGTGTTTTAGATATATACAAGTGATACAGTCACATACCAGTGATATAGTCATATGCCAGTGATACAGTCATAAACCAGTGATACAGTCATATACCAGTGATACAGTCATAAACCAGTGATATAGTCATATACCAGTGATATAGTCATATACCAGTGATATAGTCATATACCAGTGATATAGTCATATACCAGTGATACATTCATTAACCAGTGATATAGTCACATTTAACCAGTGGTTATAATAGTCATAAACCAGTGATATAGTCATAAACCAGTGATATAGTCACATTTAACCAGTGGTTATAATAGTCATAAACCAGTGGTATAGTCATAAACCAGTGATATAGTCACATTTAACCAGTGGTTATAATAGTCATAAACCAGTGGTATAGTCATAAACCAGTGATATCGTATAGTCATATACCAGTGATATAGTCATACAGCAGTGGTACAGTCATAAACCAGTATATATAATTGTATTTAGCCATATATCAATGATTTAGCCATATACCAATAGTCATATAACAGTGGTTTTTTAGTCACATATTAATGACTTAGTCATATATACCTGACATTTTAGTCAAATTGGTATAGTAATTATTGTGATTTCAATCGAAAAATAAGTAGTTTCACAAATTAAGAATTTATATTTGACAAAATGATTACTTTCACTCGCATATGTCCTGTTTCAAAATTTTTTTTTTTTAAAGTACATGTAAGTGTATCAGTAATTGGGATTGAGTGTAAATATATTCATCATCATGTCTTAAAAACAATATTCACAGCACATTTTTATCATTTGATTATCTGAGAAGTTCATCATTTAAGTAGAGGTATCCATCAAGTTAAACACTGATGAATGACAGACAGCAAAAACAACCCCTGAAACTACATCAGGTAACAAACAATGAGGATATTCTGCATCCAGGTCTTTTTAATAGGAAGTCAAAGCAAAACAACCCCTTCAATATAGGAAATAAATACATGCCAGATAGTGTTTTATTACTGAATTAAACCATTGTTTCAAGTTTTGACAAGTAACAATCATATCATATGGGCGAGGCCAGGAAAGCATAAAATAATTACATCTGGTAACCAAGAAAATGGTTTTATGACAGAAAAATTACATTTTATGATTAATGAAATTTAATTTGCTATCTTATATGTCAGTTTCAATGCACCACATTTATGTAGTAGTAATAATAATGATATAATGCAATGACTAAGAAGTGAAAGAAAGCAGCCTCATCACAACTTTGATTAAAAAAGTTCAGACCAAACACTGGAAAATTTAGTTAACGAAAAAGTTCTGACCAAAGTTTAAATAATATACATAGTAAATTTCATCACTCAAAGGTACGCAACTCTTGTAAAACTCAATTATGTCTGAAACTGGCGCTTAGAAAATTTATACAGCTGTCACTTAAAAAACTTATCTATGAGAGGTGATATAAATATCGCTGATTCATTTCTAAGAGTCTAATAAAATTATATACCACTACTATTTACATAAATAATTGTGAAAGTATTACCAATTTTTTATGCAAATCTTTAAAAAATTGGGAACCATTATATGTACCCGGCCATCTATATACATGTACATTGTCATAATACAACTATCAAAATTGTAATAGAAATTAAATTGTGAATTAAAAAAATCAATATTAAATAGCGATTGGATAATTTCAAAAATTTAGTTTGAATTTTTGACCAATGACAGAGTCTTAAATATTCCTGAATCACATCACATAAATACTGATAATTTTCATAAATGTATCAATTCTAATTCCAGACAGGCCGTAACATTAGATCATATTAAATAGAACCATGCTATCATGACAAAATAATTGATCATTTTTACGGAACATTTCAAAATATTTACTGACTGAATAACTAACAGTGCAGACCATCATTATGCATGCAGACAGCATTACAAACTGATCTTTGGTCTGCACTGGTTGCATGGATGGAATCAGTTGTTAGCTGAGCAGTCTAAGAATTAACAGTTTCAAACATATTTTTATAATAAAACTAGTAAAACTATCATATTTACCTTTTGAGACATGGAAAACTCATTTACTGCTTTATTCATGTTAAATCCAAATCTGGAATTTTTATTATCCATTGCTAGTTTCCTATTATCCAAACTGGGAGCCGGGCTACAGTTATTGTTGTTAACAACATCATTGTTGTTGCCCTCACTCCCTGAATTGTCCACTTTACCAACACTTCTACGAAACTTTAACATTTTCTCCTTTCTTGACAGGCTTCTATAGTATATAAATCAACTTTCCCCCTTAAATTATCTATCCAAGATTATTTCATTCCCCATTAATCATCCAAAAATTTCACTTTAAATTTAGTCCAAATTTCTCCAAACTTCAACATTTTTACTTTGATTCTGTGTAAATATCTATACTTCTAATTTCTCCACAATGAACATTATTTTTACATTTCAATCAAGGTAAGCATGGAGATATCTAAATAATACAGGTTATCATTTCTTTCATTCTCCAACTGAAAATTTTAACACACCACTACAAATCACTCTCCCAACATAAGCTTTTAAGCATTATTTATAAATCTTTTTGTTATCAATTAAAACATCAAATATTTCCATGATCATAATCAGACAACAGGTAACCATTAATTTCCTCTCGATTTCTTTCAACTTATCTTTAAATATGCTTGGCTTATGTTCCCTAAACACACAATAATGTTCCCTATACACAAAAATCTGAAGTTACCTCTAGGTATAACAAGGTTATTGAATAGACATGCAATCCTATTAATTCATCCGCATGTTTTTACTACATTGCAATTTCCTTTTCAAGCCACCTGTTTTTTTCTCTTTTCTGAAACACGTTAATTACAAACCAGCGTCCTTTCATCAAATCAAGGTGAGCAGTGTCTGTCGAGTAACTTATTCCTGTATTTAATTTCAAATCTCCCAGTTTTCAGTTTCTGTACCTGTCAAAAATCACAGGTGCTCAACCATCTCTCCTGACAGGACTTAACTTAATGTCAACAAGGTTAGCTTTTAAAAAAGCTAGTAGCGACTCGCTTCGTAATTTTTTTCCAGGGGTGCGTTGAAATGTAAAAATGACAGTTCTGTTAGCTGAAGAGACTTCAGCGAACATCAAAATAAAAGTGACATAAAGTTATGGAAGCCAGTTTCACTCAGTTTAACAAAGAGGAATATGAGTATATATGAAGATGCATGTAAACAGATAGAATGAAGTCCCTATGTCTATGCACAATTACTCTATGGCCTTTTGACCTTGACCAAATAAATGTTAGATAGGTAGAATTCATGAAGATGTCTCTTTATACGAAGTTAAGTTGTAATATGATATTTAGTATTGGAATGAGTGACAGACACAAGTCCTAAAGTAAACACAAGTTGTCAATTAATTCTGCCAGAAAAGCCGGGATCCTATTAAAAATATAGGGATCCCGGGAATTAACCAGTCTTAGATGCTTTTCAGATAAGCCAGGATCCTATTAAAACATATAGGGATCCCGGGAATTGACCAGTTCAAGAATATAGTTTAATTTCAGAAAAGCCGGGATCGTATTAAAGTATAAAGAGATCCAAGGAATTGGCCAGTTCAAGAATATAGTTTTCAGAAAAGCTGGGATCGCATTAAAACATAAAGGGATCCCGGGATTTGACCAATTCAAGAATGTAGTCGTTGATTTTCCAATTAATTAGGCATATACTTATAAGTATTGTGATTTTTAAGTTTGTTGATAAATAGCTCTAAATATATTTATATCCAAAGTTTAATTAATTTAACGTTCATTACATACAATAAAAAAACTTAACGTTTAATGGCCTTTCATTACGACAATAATCAACACAAATATAGTTTATAAGTTTTTCCTCTATATCTTATACGATCCGGATCCCGGCCAGTCCGGGCGTCCCGGATCCCGGCCAGTAAATATATACACTTAATTCCGGAAAGGATAAAATGACCGGAAAAAAGGAAAAAGAAAAAATGCACAGAACCAGGTGTACACTTATGTTAATTAACCAAACGAAAACTTACTACAGAGGAACAGGTGAAATCGCTAAATCAAAAGTCAGTGTTAATATGATTTATTGAAAAGAATTCATGAAAACAAACATTTTTAATAATCATAATATCTTTGCGCTCAAAACAATACTTGCTGCTTTTTAAATATGGCGTGAAAATTGAAGGTTTTTTGACGCTATGTAAGATTAAATTTGATTGGCTTAATTATTTTGGATCCTAGCCCTGATAGATAAATTTTTATAGAAAGCTGGAAGCCAAGCTTCGATTAAATTTGTGGATGTATTCGGAGTTTTAGGTTGTTTCTCAGTAAAATCCTAACGTAATACCGGCTCGCCGTGGCGAGCCGGCACAAAATATCAAAAAAACTTCATTTGATCCTTTCATATTAGTAACTGAAACCCTATCAACTTTAGTTTGCATAAATGAACAACAAGCTAGAGTTTAATTACTTTACCTTTGTAAAATTGCAACTTTTTGTTTTTCATTTTTTTTGAAATCATTTGTAATGCCAAAGGTAAGAAAACCTGTCAATAAAGCAGTTATGAATGTAACATAGTTATAACTTAGTGCTAAAAAATTGATGCTAAAAAAAACCCCAAAGAAGTTAAATAATTATAGCATCCAATTATGTTGCAATCATTTTTCTCGTTTGCTCACAGAAAATAAACTCCCAGAAAAAACAACACACACAAAAGAGTCGAGATAATCTAAGCAGACTTGACAAAAGAATAATTGTAAGATATTATCAACAGCTCAGTAAAAATACCCACAATTCCCCAGTTACCCATTGATCTTCCATGTAACAACAATAACTTTCGTAATTTTCTACTCTTTGAATAATACATACAAAACACAACACCTCTACTTCACCTTGATTTAATTGGCTAACAATCCCAAAAGATAAAATGTCAATTATTCTTACATTAAATTAACGACTTTCCATTAGTTTTTTATGTAACATCACGCATAAAGTTCAACATTATCAATATATAGATAATATAATATTATTTATTATCATTAATTATATATATATTGCTAGTTATTAATTTCCTACCACTAGTTGTTTTACATTATGTTTAAAAGTTTATATCATTATCAATTACCAATACAATTACACCACATTACATGTATTAATTAATGTATAATTTCTAAAAACGGTGCTGAAATTAAATGCCAATAATTATTGTATTATTAATTATCTATAATTCAAATTTCAAATTACATTACTCATTCAATTAAGCAAATTACTGATAACCAGTCTGCACAATAATTGATAACCAGTCTGCACAAAATATCAATTTAGAATAAATTAATCTGCAGTAGCTTTCACTTAAACCACTAATCAGAAGTGTGCCTCCTGTTTTTTCCCTCATGCTATATATAAAGAAAATATATTACAGATAACAAGCTATTTCATGTAAAATTTATAAGGTGTAAGATACTTGAATGTCCACGTTTAGATAATTTTTCTAAGTTCAAGAGGTTTATAACACAAAAATATCATTTACACTTGACATTTTAGTGAATAATCCATTCAATGAGAGAAACCGCCTGTACTTAGAGTAACTTCATTCTCATATAATTATATCCACTTGAAAACCACAAACATTTTTTTCAAACAATCAAATATTGTTTTTTTATAATCAACAAAATTTCTAATTTCAAAGGACAAGTGACTCAATTTTTCAGTTTTCTGTGGGAAATCTACTTTTTTCTGAAATAATGTGGAAAAAAAATAGTCGGACTATGAGCCCGTTTGTTTATTTTTTATCAACTTTACATTCCACTATGTCATTTTCACAACAATTTTATAACAATTTTGAGAACGTTCAAACTTTATAACAATTTTTAGAATGTAAGATTTAATTAAATTGACTCTACCATTTTATAATTATACACGTATATAAAAGAAAACATGATTATATTTTCCTAAACCACACTTTTTTATATTTTCAATATTCCGTAAAATAACCACACATTATTTTCAATTAAGCCAATCGAATAATCCTTTTCCATATTTTTTTGTTCATATTTTTACATCAACATTCCGTAAGTGAATCATTCTGTTCCTTAATGATAAAAACAAGGCAAACCAACTGTTGCCTATAATAGTATGACACATGACTATTTCACAATGACACACTGTCGAAATGTTTCCCTACGGGACAAAATCTGGCTAAATATTGGACTCTATGCCAATTACTGGTTTATTAATCTCCAATACCGTTCTCTCAATACTCTGACCACACATATCGCATGATGGTCAAACAATACCAAATGGAGAAAAAAAAAAATTGACAACAAAATTCTATATCAGACTGCAACATCACCCTCAGGCTGCCGACTGAAAATTAGTTTTATTTTTGCTAATTGAGTTATTTTTTCATCTTTCCCCAATGATACAAATGCTCCTTTGAAGACTCTAATAAACTCCTATTGTCTGCAGCTTTGATCATAAATATCAAAGATAATTGCTCACTAAAATCGCATATCATTAGACCCTTCCTCTACTATATTATAGATAATTTTAGCCGCAATACTTTGACATTTGAAAAAAAAACACAGAGAAAACAACATAGTGTTAGTAAGATCATTTACCATATGGTCATAGATATTGTCTATTTCAAAAGTATACTTAGTTACACATGTATCAAGGAGAAATGCCTGTTTCGAAAGTACAACTCTGGTGTATTGTGGACCATCAATATTCTATCATCTAACTTTATGCAAGAACATTAACCTTTGCCCCTATAGAAGTCATGAAAAGGATTTTGCTCTTTGTATGTTAATATGTCAATTACTGTGATCTTAAAGAAATTGACTATCATAGCACCAAATTTAGTAGCCTATACAATGTTAAGTCTTGTGGCTATTGTTTCTTTTATTCAATAAGGTCTTAGCAAGTGAAATATAATAATTAACACTTCCCTTAATTCCATAATTGTTTTGCTACCTCTGCTACATTTAGTCCAGTCCTTATACACCTCTGTTTGTCAAGCAATGTTTAAATATTGAAATGAGGAAAATATACAATATATTATATCTATAACTTATTCAACTTTACCAGAATATCATTAATCTTAATGTAGTCATAATAAATGTAATTTTAAAATAATTATATCAATAATGAGTCATTTTAAGATCAATCAACAGTGAACAATTTTTTTAATTTTACTATATAATCATGTTAATACAGTATGTATATAATTTTTAGTGACTTTAATCTGATCATGACACATCAAAAACCTTTCATCTTGAAAGCATCCTCTGCTGTCAACTAAATAGGTTGTAAAATACTTCAATTTTTCATCTTATTGCATAAATTATCATCTGTTGAAAAATGTCAACATCTGTCCTTCATGGGTTTAAGAAACCAAATCCCATAAAATTACAACAATTATTATGCAGATTCCCTATAAACTGAGTTCCTTTATTATATTAAAGCTCAATAGTCTGATGCTAAATTATTGATCCCATTACGGACAGCCACCACTATAGAATTTGGACATACCACAATGGTGTTGGGAGTAGGACAGAATGTGTCAATATGCACTCTGACTGCCAGTAAATATTTGCATAGTAATTTCTCTATTAGACACTCCATTAGCACCATTATAGTATCCTATCTTTTTACTGCATCATTTCTGGCCTTTTTTTCAGAACAACTATCTCATTGATTTTATGGTCATATAATGGTTTGAACAGAATAAGATTTAACCATTATATCTATACAGTAACAAAAACATAATAAAAAAAAATATCTTATCTTCTTAAAAGCTTTAACAAGAAAAGCATTGATGCAAAGCATCAAAGGGCGTCCAAGCAAGAAATGCAGAAAGTGAAGATGAACTAGTAGACAGATGATGTCAAGATATTCTTATAAACTTTTCAATGGTTAATTGGTTTTTACCAAAATGAACGGACGAAAGACATTGTTCATTATGAACTTTGATTGGCATGCTAGAGATTAGAATATTACTT